ATAAATCTTAAATAAAAGATCATGATGAAACATACTGTCGATTTTAACTTCGTAACTAATAACAACTAATTAATTCTCACTAATATGTAATTCAAAAGTCATTGTATCCGGGAATAATGGTAATTATTATTGACACATTTAATCTATAATTTTGTTTGTCAATTGCGTAAATCGGAATATTCCCACGTTATCTGGAGTGGCAGTGGTAGGTATAGGTACGTGGAAAGCGCTGTGTTTGAGTGTGCATCGCATCGGTATTCGGGTGATGTCAACGTGGCGTTATGTTATCTACATCCGCCTGAGCGTCGGTGTCGGTGTCGGTGTCGGTGGGGCCATGACGCAGGGCCTCACATGCCTCACAATGGCCGCACCAATCTCTGTGTAGGTACCAACTTTGTAAGCGATTTGCGTAAACGATGACGGTTCGGGTTGCATTCAGAAGGTAATTTCGATAAGATTAGATTGAATAGAATGCGAAGGTTTATGTCCGCAATGTTATCTTGATTCATTGTCCTTGAGATATGTGGAATTGTTTTTCTTTCAACTTGTATTGGTTTTATCTGCGTGCAATGAAATTTGGAACAGGTATGTTTATCAGTAAAATACAATTTCTCCTCGAGCGATATGCAACATGCAAAGGTGAATTAATATACTCTATTTGATATTAAATAATTTGAAATGTAATATTTCAATGTTTCTAAATAACATTCTGAATCATGTAGACCTCCTAATTAATGTCCAACAGTAAAGTTTTAAAATATGTTTAACGTTTTTATTATCGGTAAATGTTAAACATTTATCAAATATCTCGACAATAATTAAGACACTTATTCTGTAGTGACGAGAGATCTTGTTTGATCATTTTGTGTGTCTATATTTACGTAGTGCGAATGCGCGAGTTACAAATAAACGGCCATGGTCCGTTGGCCAGGCGCCACCGGCCCGCCGCGCCGCGCGCCCCCCGCCTACCTGTGCGTTGCACAATGTACCGTTGCCCGTTGCCCGCACTCCACACCCATCCAGTATCTACTTTCTGCCCACAACCGCCAACACTAGCACTAGTCACTTGTGTGGGAATCATTCATTACAAACATAGATTGATAACTACTACCATCAAATACCTACTTATCTAAAATATCTTCTTCAAACTGACTAAAAAGTAAACCGTTATTGGAATAAATACAAAAATCTGGTATGCACACGCCTATAAATATTTTTATCTCATAACACAAATATATAGGCTACATATTGCAGTAGGCATATTT